ATATTTTCCAAATTATAGTCAATATGCATATCTCATTTTTAATGTCAGAAAATTGTGATTTTAATAGGGAATCAATAAAGCAGATATTCTCCCCAAACACAGTGCTCTACTAATTTTCCTATTAAAGTTACGCTCATTTACCCAGAAGAATAATTTTTACCAGCTGAGACACTTATACATCCTTTTCTACCTTCTTTCCTAAAGAGTCTAGTTTTCTAATGAAAAGCTTCTTCATTAGTCCTAATGGCCTCCCTGTCAACGCAGATCCATCAAGAAGTAGTTTTCCAAGCTTGTCAGTAAGAAATTGAAAGACCCAGGAACCTATCTCATCAGAGTCACAAGGTGTAAATGCTGGAGTATTCCCAGAAATGGGCTACAGAGCTTTTATTTCAGCAACAGGACTGCCATGGCACATAAGAAGAAAGAGTGGACAGCTCACTGTGAGTCTCAGGACTGTCTCCCCTCTAGCAGGTCAAAGAAGTATGACGTAAAAAGATAATTGCAGAGTCTGGAGTCCTGAATTTGGGAGCATCTGCCACATTTTCATCATCTCAGAAAGCACTCTTGGACAGCCTTGGTATATATATTTCCCCCAAGTTCTGCAACAGCACGGTTAGAGTTACAATTTCTCGTTCCAAATGGCACTAAGGCCTGGGTGTGCTGGAACCCTCGTTTGTCTGGAAAAACTGTGCTCCATCAGTCATGCTGCCGCTAAGATCAGGCTCTTATCTGGAAGCAGTTTGGGAGATATAGTAGGCCGAATAACAACCATCTAAAGATATCAAGTCCTAATCCTTGGAACTTGTAAATCTTACCTTATTTGAAAAAAGGGCTTTTGCAGATATAATTGAGGATTTTAAGAGGAGGAGAGTACCCTCAATGCTGCAGATGGGTCCTAAACGCCACCACAAGTGTCCTCACAAGACAGAAACAAAAGGAGATAACACACAAAAGAGAAAGTGATATAGGAAAATGGAGCAGAGAGAGATGCAGCCACGAGCCAAGGAATGCCAGCAGCTGTAAGAAGCTGGGAGAGGCAAGGAATGGATTCTACTCCAGAGCCTCCAGGGGATGGGCTTGGTTTCAGAATTCTAGCCTTTAGAGCTGTGAAAGAACACAATTATGTTGTTTCAAGCCACCCAGTTTGTGGTAATTTGCTATGGCAGCCCTGGGAAAGGAACACAGGAGGGATAAGATAAGGTTAGAACATTTGTGTGCAAATTAAGAAAGGACTTTGCTCTCTGAATGGACAGTGTTTCATAGACAACCATCACGGAGAGGAAGTACCTGGGCTGGATTTTAGCCTCCACTTCTCTCTTCAAAATGTACCTTTGTGGAGTGAACAATCTTCACCACTGCACGTGACAGTCCTAAGAATGGAAGAGGCAACAAGATTCTGGGTTTACAGAAAGTCAGAACTCTAAGAGAAAGAGAAAGAGTGCAGAAATAAGAGGCAGGAGGAATGGAAGTCACACTCCAAAAATAATGATTATAACTCTCACTTGAGAGTACTTCTCAGAAATGCTTCTGTGAATGCTCTCTGTGTCTTCACGACACCCCTGTGAGGGGGATGTTAGCCCCATTGCCTCTGAATTCTGTTGGATGCTCTCAGAAGATTAACTTCCAAATATTCTCTGTTTCTTGGTTTCTGTCACCGTTGGGTTGACTAGACAGAATAATTTTATTCTACAGAGAGTTTAACTAGGCAATTCTTTCAGGATGCCTATTAAGTCTAGATTGATTAAGATTGCTTTCAGAATGATATTTAATTGGGATAATGGTTTAAATTGGTTATTGATGGGGAAGATGTGATTGTGACTAGCTTAATTCCCTCTGGATGAGAGCAGAAAGCTTTCCCCAGAAAGCCACTATTTAGTTCCTCGGATAATTTGAAAAGAAATATATTAGGCATGAAAATTAGCAATTGAGATAATGCTTGACTAAGGTGAGCCAAGAATTTAACCAAACTATTAGGAGTGTAAACTCTTTAGAGGAGACACACTCTAAGTGACAAGATGATCCATTTCCGTGGAGCCAGCTATGAATTTCATGCTAACCCTCTGCCTCCATAATGCATACTAAAGTTCAGAGCTAGGTATGTGCATGGAGCTACAATTAACACGTCTGGAGCCCTTCCAGGAATAGAGGTAGTCACCTGGCACTCCATCCCTTCAATCTCTACACTGCTTTGAGCAGAAGCTTTATCATCCCTGTGTAACAAGGCTGTGAGACATCAAATAAATCATCTGAGACCACCCAATGAGTAAGTGGCGATTGGTAGCTACAAAGCCCAGGTCCCTGCAAGTCTGACACAAGTTCATTCACTCAGCAACTATTTAATAAATACCACTGTGAACTACACACTGTTCTAGGCACTTGGGATAAAGCAGAATAACAAGGATCCTGTCATCAGAAAGGTTACATCCAACTGAGAGAATCAGATAGTGAATGAATACAAAAGGAAATAAATGATATATCAGGGTATAGGAGAAGTCAGATGTTCCCAAACACACTATTCTCTTCTTCATTCTTTCCTCTCTTTTCCCAAGAGCTGTTGTCTTTGTCAGGGACCATACAGAGTCAGGGACTCAAACAAGAACCTTGAGGAGTAAGGTTCCAGAAAGACATCCTATAAGCAGACAAGGGCAATATGAAGAGTGGCTTGTTTCTATCTAAGGAGATACAAAGGGGATTTTTTAAAATAGGGTTTTAATAATCCTCTGTTTTTAAACTTCTCAAATCACCACATCTAATCTACTTATCATCCCATTTATTTGCTAATCACTGATGCTCTGGGACAAACAAGAGCAAATTCTTACTTCAGTGTAGGTTTCTATGGGAAGACTATCTGAGGTCCCCCACTGGTTGAGCCTTGATTTCCTTATCTGTAAAGGGACTAAAGACTCAACAGGTAAGCAGGGAACATGCTTAGGATAGAGCCTGGTACATTGTAAATGCTCAATAAGTAGCTATTTATATCAATCATCATTATTCCTTCAAGATACTTTATGGTGAAGGAAACAGGTTGGTGATTGGGCAACGTCCTTGGTGACAAAGGTCTGGGGCTTCATTCTTTCCCCAGCTTCCTCCCCCTTGTGCTGTGATTGCTCCCCTTCTTCATATGTGTGTGTCTCACAACCAATGTAACTTAGTTCTGCCTCTTCCTTGCACTTGCAGAGCATTTGCTGGTCAACTTGACCGTGAATGCCCTTGAGTTCTGGCTTTGTCTTTGGTGACTGTGCGTGTCCTTCAGCAAGTTTCCTAACCATCTGGGCCTAAGTTTTCTATTTTTCAAAAATCAGCATAGAAACTCCATCACAGCACTGTCACAAGGTTGATAATTTCTGATGCTACCTTATATTTATCGAATATATATTTGTTTCAAGCAGTCGGCACATACTTTACAAGAATGTCTCATTTTTTTCTTCAAAACAAATCTGTCCAATGAGTATTATTATTATTATTTTTTAATTATTTTATTGAAGTCACATTGGTTTATAACATTGTGTAAATTTCAGGCGTACATCATTATATTTTGACTTCTGTACAGACTGCATTGTGTTCACCACAAAAACTCTAGTTTCCATTCATCACCATACGTATTTTCTCCTATACCCCTTTTGCCTTCTCCTCACCTGCCTCCTCTCTGGTAACCACCAATCTGTTCTCTTTATTTGTGTGTTTGTTTGTTTATCTTCTACATATGAGTGAAATAATATGGTGTTTGTTTTTCTCTGTCTGACTTATTTTGCTTAGCATGATACCCTCAAGGTCCAGCCATGGTATCACAATGGCACAATGTTGTCTTTTTTATGGCTGAATAGTATTCCATTGTATATATATACCCCATCTTCTTTATCTATTCATCCATTGATGGGCACTTGGATTGCTTCCAAATCTTGGCTATTGTGAATAACGCTGCAATGAACATAGGGGTGCCTATATCTTTTAAAATTAGTGTTCTCTTGGTCTTTGGATAAATACCAAGAAGTGGAATAGCTGAATCATATGGTACATCTATTTTTAATTTTTTGAGGAATCTCCATACTGTTTTCCATAGTGGCTGCACCAGTTTGCATTCCCACCAGCAGTGTATGAAAGTTCCCTTCTCTCCACATCCTCTCCAACACCTCTTATTTCTTGTCTTGTTAATTATAGCCATTCCGAGGGGCATGAGGGGATATCTTATTGCAGTTTTAATTTGCATTTCTCTAATAATTAGACATGTTGAACAACTTTTCATGTACCTGTTGCCCATCTGTATATCTTCTTTGGAAAAATGTCTGCTCATATCCTTTCCCATTTTTTGATTGAGTTGTTTGTTTTTTTGTTGTTGAGTTGTATAAACTCTTTATATATTTGGAAATCAACCACTTATCAGATATATGAATTGCAAATATTTTCTCCCAGTTGGTGGATTGTTTTTTCATTTTGTTGATGGTTTCCTTCGGTGTGCAGAAGCTTTTTAGTTTGGTGTAGTCCCATTTGTTTATTTTTTCTTTTGCTTCCCTTGCCTGATGAAACATGGTATTCGAAAAGATACTGCTAAGACCAGTGTCAAAGAGCACACTGCCTATGTTTACTACTGGGAGTTTTATGGTTTTAGATCTTACATTCAAGTCTTTAACACATTTTGAGTTAATTTTTGTGTACAGTGTAAGATAATTTCTACTTTCATTCTTTTGCATGTGGCTCTCCAGTTTCCCAACACGGTTTATTCAAGAGGCTTTCCTTTCTCCATTGTATGTTCTTGGTTCCTTTGTCAAAGATTAGCTGTCCATAGATGTGTGGTTTCAATTCTGTTCCATTGATCTGTGTGTCTGTTTTTCTGCCAGTACCATGCTGTTTTCATTACTATAGCTTTGTAGCATATTTTGAATTCAGGGAGTGTGATACCTCCAGCTTTGTTCTTTTTTCTCAGGATTGCTTTGGATTTTTAGTGTCTTTTGTGGTTCCATATGAATTTTAGGATTCTTTGTTCTATTTCCATGAAAAATGTCATTGGAATTCTGATTGGGATTGCGTTGAATCTGTAGATTGCTTTAGGTAATATGGACATTTTAACTATGTTTATTCTGCCAATCCATGAGCAAGTAATACCTTTGCATTTCTTTATGTTTTCTTCAGTTTCTCTCAATAATGTCTTATAGTTTTCAGTGTAGATGGTCTTTTACTTCCTGGGTTAAATTAATTCCTAGGTATTTTGTTCTTTTTGTTGCAATTGTAAATAGGATTATATTCTCGATTTCTCTTTCTGCTAGGTCATTGTTATTTTTTAATCTGTTTTACAGATGAGGAAACTGAGGCTTAGTGATTGCACATGATGAAATTGAACATGAAAAAGTAGTGCAAATTAAATGACAGTAGGAGTGACATAACAAAAGAAACTATGATACAATTTTCTTTAGAGGATCTGTGAGATTGGTATGGTTATGTACAGTTTCCAAAAGACATTACTTTAAATTTAAATGGGAATTTAAAGGACCTGGAAGACTTTGATGAGCCAAGGTAGCAGAAGGTACTAGCCCAGAGTGTAATTTTTAATTTCAAAAACTATATGCCCATATATTTTTTTCACGGTCTAACATTTCTGAAAAAGGAGTGTGTTTTAAAATTGCTGAATGCATTTTAGGCCATAACATTTCTTTTTTCCTCTAAAAATCTATGATCAAAACCATGATTTTGTTTTGTTATTGTTTAAATAATTAATGTTCTTTAGAATCAGGAAAACTGGAATTATTCATGTTTATTATATACAGCTCCAGGAAGATATCTCCCTCAGTTTACTTCCAATAATCAAAAACACTGCTTTGAATTAATTAAAAAAGCAGAACTGCATTTTCGTGTACGTCAAATTATACTGGGTTTGGCGTCAGGAGACCTGGCTTCAAATCTTTCCTTTTTTACTCACTGTTGATTTGACTAAGGGCGAGTATTAAACCACTTGAGCACATTCCTCCGCTATGAAACCAGGATAATTTTCCTGTCTAACTCATAGCGTTGGTTTCAGATTTAACAAAGAGAAATTCTCCCAATATCTTGAATATTTCGTATTAAATGTCTTTTACATTTTTGTAAGTTGTCTTTAAGGGCATCAAAAGTTTTATTATTATTTTGTGTACCTTTCTTTCTTCAGGTAGTATTGACCCGTTGAATGAACACATAATTGAAGAGTTATTAGGGTAAAATTCTTTGATAATATGTAAAAAACAACACAAAACAAAAGACACCCACACGTTATTGTTGTTCATTCAACTACTGGAAACCGAAGAACCATCTAAATTTTATTCATTTATTTCCTCAATACTTATTTAGCTTATAGTATGTGCCCAACACTATTCTAGAAGGTCGGGATGAGGTAGTGAATAGGATGGACACATGTCCTGCCCACAATGCCTTATAATCTTGTAGGGTTGGAAGCATCTGCAGACAGTTCAGCAGAGGCAGGATAAGTCTGTGTGTGTGTGTAGGGAATTACATTTTCTTCTAAAAATTTATTTCATAAGTGAATCACCACGATTATTCAAGCAGCTTTTCATAATTTTCAAGTAAGTACCAGTAGTCATAGAAATAGGAGAAACTACATTTAAAATCTTGGATGAAACCCATTTTATTTTCTGACACTGGATATTGTAAAATTTATGCAAAGACAGAATAATGACTTCAATTCACTAAACTTTAAAGTGATTTTTTTAATTTCAAAAACTGGTATAAACAGATGAATTAATTTATTTTATTTTTAAAGACATTTCCCTTTTTTTTTTCTTTTTTTTGGGAGGAAGATCAGCCCTGAGCTAACATCCATGCTAATTCTCCTCTTTTTTGCCGAGGAAGACCAGCTCTGAGCCAACATCTATTGCCAATCCACCTCCTTTTTTTCCCCCAAAGCCCCAGTAGATAGTTGTATGTCATAGTTGCACATCCTTCTAGTTGCTGTATGTGGGACGCGGCCTCGGCATGGCCAGAGAAGCGTGCATCAGTGCGCGCCCGGGATCCGAACTGGTGCCGCCAGTAGCAGAGCATGTGCGCACTTCACCGCTAAGCCACGGGGCCGGCCCTAAAGACATTTCTAATGTTACAATTTCATAGAAATTTCCAGTAAAACAATAGAGAAATAAGTCATCTATTTCTGTTTCTTTTCATGATTAATTATTGAGCAACCGTAGTGAAATTTTCCTTCAGACTTTATAATAAAACTCTCTAGATTCCAGTAGCATTCCAATTAGCAGATGAGTGCCTGAAAGAACAGATTATTAGTCTGTGAGAGCTAGCTGCATATTTGCAAAAATCCTGTTCAACATTTGAATGATTATCTAGATGTCATTCTGGTAGTAGACTTTCTAGAGCGAGAAGACAAAAAGATCACTTCTGGGGGGATACGTTTACCTTGTGATTAACAAAGAACATCATGAAAGAGGATTCCATGCCTGTGGCATTCAAGAAGAGTGATTTTTTTCCTTGTTACGGTATAGCTAATTTCTTAATTATTCTGGATTTCTTTCTGCTCCATTCAACGAACCAAATAATATGCCGGTTCACTCCATCGTTAAATAACGTCTTCTCTATATTACTAGTTGGCAGCTGCATTATTGGTTGAGCATAACTTTTTGCTTTTAAATCATTCAGATCTAAGGAAAATGGAAATAAAATCTCTGTCAAGAGAATAGCTGAGTGATTCTTGTAAAATAACTGAAGATACGTTTGTTCAATCTTCCTGCCAGAAAGCCCCAAAAGAAATGAAGAAAATGTATCTTAATACAAGATGGCAGGGCTAGATCAAACATATCTTTCATTGCAAATATTGAATCAGAAAAACAAAAGTATATACTATGTAAAAGGAAAAAAACTAGAAACAATATGATTCAGAAAAGTTTAAAATTAAAGGATGGGCAAAGACATTGAAAATAATATAAAAACTACAAGGAGACTTAGGCAGAAACACAGTATTATGAGATATAAACACATAGTTTTACATCAACTTACCAGTTGAAGTCGACAAAGAATAATAACAACAATATAAAGAATATACTTTTAAGTGGCCATAAAAAATGATCATATAATAGACAAAAAGTAAAGCATATTTATTAAAATTCTAACTAATGGAATTAGTACATCTTGGACTTTTTGACACAGATGGCCTGATTTTCCATTCCAGGTCTGCTACCTTGGACAAGTCACATAACCTCTCTGTGCCTCAACATTCTCATTGTAAAATGTAAATTTAATGGTACCTACGGTATAGAGTTAGTGTATGTGTTAAAAGGTTAATAAGTAAACCACCTACAATATTGTCTGGCACTATACAAATGCCAACTTTTATTATTTCTAGTGTTTTTCTTCTCAAATAATTATTTCTCTGTTCTATGTATCTCTTTTCTACAATCATTTTCTGTATTTTCCTTTTGCTTCTGCATTCTGGAGGGTCTTTGCAGCTCTGCTTTAGTTCTCAATAACGCCAGTTCTTTTCTTTATTACTTGCAAGTATATTTCAATTTTGCTCTTGCGTTCTGTATATCCTTATATTATTTTCACATATTAATCTGATTCTTTTGATTTATGAAATTATTTCATCATATCTCCATATGATATCTTACTCTCAATTTATTAAATATACTTGTTGCAAATATTTTACGATTCTTAGGCAATACTTTCTAAAAGTGGTTTTTTTTTTTAAAGAAAATGGTTATTTCCAGGGCATCTTATTTTTCTGAATTTTAAGACAATGTAACCTTTTCATAGATTTCCTTAAAAATAAATAGAATAGCTGTGTTCACCTGTGATATATGTTTATAGCGTTCATCTATTTATAGGGAGAATAGCTGCGTCCCTAGTACTCTTCATTGTCCAGTCAATGGCTAGACTTTTTTCCCTATCAGATATATATTCAATTATGCAAGAATTGGGCATTGGATAAATTGAGCATTTACCAATCTGTAGACACTGTTCTAGATGCTGGGGATATGTGAAGCACAGGCCAGAAATAGTTACTGCTCATATGATAGACAGTAAACAAACAATATATAAATATATAAATAAGATTCACACTGGCAAAAACAAAGCAGGGTAAGGGACTGGAGAATTACAGGGAAGAGAGTGGAGGGGGAATGAAATTGGGCAGAGGCCTATGAAGAAAGGAATGCAGAACTGCAAACAAGTGGGCATAGACCATTCCAGGAAGATGTGCACTGTCAGTGCAAAGGCACTGAAGGGCAACAAGGTTGGCCTAGTTGAGAAATAGCAGAAGCCCAGTGTAGCTAGAGCAGAAATATAAACCCAAAGCTCGTGTGCACAGGCTTTAATTAAATCACCACCACTCAACAAACGCTTGATTGTCCTGGAGCTGCTTGCATCTGGAGAGTATTTTCTTCTTCCCGCTGTCAGGTTCTCTGATGGAACTAGAGTCAAATGCAGTTTGTTAACTTCCTGAGCACTGACATGGGGAACTCCCTCCACCTTCCAATGGCTTCCAATTTTCTGGTGAAGTACACTCTCTATGTTCTGCAATTAGACACCACAGGGAGAAAAAAAGGCAAAGCATTTTTCTAATTTCTTTGAGAGTACATCCTGTTCTCAGTTAGATTAGAACATATGGCATTTGTAGAATTATGTGTTTCTCAGTCTATTAACATTCATAGCACTGATAGAAGGTTTATCCATAGTGAACATATGCTCTTTGCTAGTTTTTAATACATAGATCTGTTGTCAATTTTTGCTTTTATACATACCCTAGAAAATATTTTAATATAGGGTTTCAAGGAAACACACCATACCAATCCATCCATGTGTTCACCTGCACGTTTTGAGAGAACAGCTTTGAGGAGTAGGTGATGGATTTGATGCAATAGACCTTGAAACCTTCCATTTAGAGTTCTCTGATGTGTAGCAGAACTCAAGGAGAAAGTCAAGTCTGGAAATATAGATCTTTGAGTGCTCCACACGGAAGTGAGAGTTTTGCATAACTTGAAGCCAGGAAAATATCTTCCTCATTTTAACAGTCCGTGTGCTTAGTGAAAGGCCTGTACATGTGACCTGGAATATATTTATCTCCTTTGCTTTAATTAGCTGACCCCTTCAGGACTCTGCTCAAATTTTATCTTCTCATAGAGCTCTTCCTTGATCAAACAATCTGCCACTGGGCACGTTATATTCCTTTATCTCATAGTGACTACCCCTTTTCTCTCGTAGCACTTATCCTATATGTAATTATAGATGTATTGTCTATTTGTCTGTTTAATAACTGTCTCCATCATTAGATTGCAAGTCCACTGATGACAGGGTCCATGTGTGTTTTGTTTATCACTCTACTCTAAGCATCTCACAATGTTGCCCCGTATGAAATGTTAATTATTGTTTGTGGAAGGAATGAGAGAAAAACCAAATAACATAGAAGGTGCTTGATGAATACGTATTCAATGAGCACATTACTAAAGGGAAGGAGGGGGCAGGAGGTGAAGGAAACTGAGGAAGAAAATCACATCACCCAGGAAAAGAACCCAGAGAAATAAAAGTACAAGAAGGAGGGCTGGCCCCGTGGCTTAGCGGTTAAGTGCGTGTGCTCCAATGCTGGCGGCCCCGGTTCAGATCCCGGGCGCGCACCGACGCACCACTTCTCCGGCCATGCTGAGGCTGCGTCCCACATACAGCAACTAGAAGGAGGTGCAACTATGACATACAACTATCTCCTGGGGCTTTGGGGGAAAAAAAATAAATAAATAGAAATTATAAAAAAAAAAAAGTACAAGAAGGAGAAAAGCACTGGGTTTGGTCAACCTAACATTAACTGATCCTAGCTTCCTTTTGTGGTGAAAAAACGTCCAAGAAGTATATACTATAGTTAAGAATGAAATTTATATTTCACTACAGATACCTCTAGTAAGCACAAATATTCCTGTCATAACAAGAGCAGACAGATAACCTCACCTACAAAATAATAGTTCATGCTTCATGTGTGAGATTCGAGACGGAGACTCACTGAAGACTCATGTCTTCTACATTATGCATGTATGTAAGAGGAATCAGCCTGGTTTCTGTGAGAAAGTGGGTGGGATCAAAGAAATATTGTGAAGTGAGGGGATATTAAAAATATCAAGTTGCTCAAACTTCTCTATGAGATATCAGGGAAAGTAGAGAAAAGATATTGTGTTAAAAGATAAACTAACACATATTAAAAATTTGAAGAGTGTATTTGAGCAGAAATCCATTCCAATAGGGCTGCAGCACCAAACCAGAAGTGGTTACGAGCGTTCCACCAACAGAAGCTGGGGAAAGACAGAGAAAAGGCAGGAGCAAATGATATTATTGATTGGCTAGAGCTTAAAGACTAGTTGCCTGTTTGCGATTGGTTGTCCTTAGGTTTCGATCTTGTAACCTGAGGCATTTACAGGCTTAGGTCTTGGTTTGCTTATGTGGGCCACCATAGCATCAGATCTGTCTCAGTCTAATGGCCTCCTTTTTTAATTAATTTAACAGTTGTAAGGATTGCATTTTCCAGAGAAAGGAAGAGAGAAAGAGAGATGAAGAAAGAATTATTATGTTATCTTACAAAACATCGTCTGGCCAGTAGGCAGGAACTTTTAAACTCCTTGTAGAATAAACAGGTCGAGATTTCTCTTACCCTGCTTGGGGATGATTTGACGGGGGGAACATTTCCTAAACAAACACAATTTATTCTCCTCACTTAAGGGATTCATGCTTGAACACTGGGAGAAAACGGGAAGCACCAGGAAGTTAAAAGGAAAGACAGTTCTTGCAAGATTTCCAGGTATCTCTTGCATATTCAAGTACTTCAGGGCATTCCCTGCAAACTGAGCCTCCAGCTTAAAATGCTGGTCCCTGGAGGTGGGAAAGGAATGTAGTCTAAACAAGCAGGGCCCTCTTTAAGAATTAAGTTAGGGATATTCTAACTATGTTTTCTTTCCTATCAGTTGCTCAGTGAAGGTGACAGAAATGCAGGTGCAATGGAAGGAAGCTCAGCACACAGAGCACATTAATAGCATCTTAGTAATGGACAAGGTGGAACATTGTCTTACATTTTAGAATATCGAGAAAAGAAACATTACAAAGTCATCATTAAAAGTCAATCACAACTAGCAGAGTGGGAATAGCAGAATGAAGGAGGAGAGGGGACTTCAGGTAGATAGAGAGGGTTTGGCAAATGTTTAAAGACATTCTGCCTTCCAAAGAGAACCAGAGCCAAATTACCATCTTCTATACTCTACTGTAACTTGACCTCTTCATATCAACTTTGAAGAATATGTTCCTTTGAATTTTGCAATTGCGTACAAATTAAGAAGTCCCAACAAAGATCAGATTTAGAGTGTCAGGAAAAAAGAAAGGACATTTTTCACTTGAGATAATTTATTACTATTATTATTATTTTCACTAATGATAATAACAAAGAGCTTTTCATTTTCGAAAGGAAAGGTTTTCTTTAGGAAGGAAACTGGAATTAGGGTTTAAATTTATTGAAAACAAGATGTATAATAATATGAATTTCAGGACCTACTTGACAAATTCCAGGCACTCTTCCCTTTCTCTGTTTCAGGAATGAGGGAGGGATTTTTGGCTTTCCTGAGTTCTGAGCCTCTAAGGAGATAGGAGAAAATGGCCAGAAGAAACAAGAGGGGGGCCATGATTCACAGCATGGCTCATATTGCTCTGGAGTGAGGTATTGGGGTTTCAGCGACAGCATTTCCTTCCCAGATTCCTTTACTTGGGTGCAAAGTGACAAGACTTCAAACTTTATCTTGCTTGTCTGGTGGCAACTATTCCCTCAAAGTATTTTCTTTATATACCTATTTTAGCACAATGAAGTACCAGATATTTAAACCCAGGAAATTAGAAATCTCTAAAAATAGAATCACCTTCAGTAATTCATGGAAAAGCCAAGTTTCCAGGATACAATATATGTAAACAGAGATTATGAATAATAATTGGAACTTTGTGTTAAATGACAATTGTGATATCCAGTGTTCCTGGTACAGCCTCTTAATTACATTAGAAAAGACACACTCATGCTATTTTAGTCCAATAATTGCAGAGAAGGCTTAGCTAAATTTCTAGTTTCCTTCACAGATACAGGATACTTTGACCTCTGCTCTTGCTGAAATGGTGGTCCTTTCATAAAAATCCACTACTTCAAAAAAAATCTTGTCAGGGCCGGCCCCGTGGCTTAGCGGTTAAGTGCGAGCGTTCCACTACCGGCAGCCCGGGTTCGGATCCCGGGCGCACATCGACGCATCGCTTGTCCGGCCATGCTGAGGCCGCGTCCCACATACAGCAACTAGAAGGATGTGCAGCTATGACATACAACTATCTACTGGGGCTTTGGGGGGATAAATAAATAAATAAAATTATAAAAAAAAAATCTCGTCAGCTCCTCAATGAGTTTAATTTTGTTCTTTAAAACAAAAAACTCTTTGCCATTTAAGGCAAGGTAATAGAGTACTGCTTTTCAGGGGGCAGTTTATGAATTCCAGATAAGGACTCCTGGCCATCTTTATTAACTATATAGATTAGACAGGAGAGTGACCTGTAGGATCGTCAGCGGAAATAATGGTGACCTTCATAGAGAGCTAGAACATTATATATTTAACAAATACATGAGCAATTGCCATCTGGAGAACATTGTTCTGGTGCTGTGACAACTACAAAGATCATATGTATCAGAAATGTTGCTTAGAAACTTAGCGTTTTGGAAATGGAGTTGAAAGGTGTACATAAATATCTCTAACGACAGTCAGAACTAATATAAAACCACCCTAAAC